GCGGTTGTACTCATCTTGATTTCAGTTTCTCAAGCAGGAATTACACATGTGTGCAACTCTCAGTTCCAGTGTTTTCAGCACTGAGCAGCCTGAGCGCTGAGTAATTTTGCATTACTTGGTAAAAATACCCCAGAATGTTTCTGCAGCATTGTATGGGAAGATTAAACATAATGCACTAATAATGTATTTGGCCTTGCTCAGAATCTGGCTTTCCTAGTGTTGAATTGAATGAAAAGACATAAAAGACTTAATCTCTCTGCTACTTAAAATTTTGTTATGAAAGTACACATTGTACATAGCGAAAATCCCTCTGCACTGCCTTAAGTAGAGAAACAAGCCAGCCTAGCAGTCTTTCACATGGCGTTATATTGTCTTGCGAGAAATAGTCTGTCTTGGATGTCTCTAGGTCCGCTCTTTCGTATTTTACAGAAAGCCTAAGTATCTACGATGATATTGATGCTGATGTGCTGAGAAACTACCAGGAATTTACACTGGCAAATATTCTGTACTACTCCCTGAAAGAATCCACCACCAGTGAGCAGAGTGCTAGGATGACCGCTATGGACAACGCTAGCAAAAATGCTTGTAAGTCCACTCTCTGGGTTTCCCAGGACTTCAGTCGTTCAGCATGGAAGTACTGACTTCTCTGTGTAATTCTTTGCTTCCCAAATGATAAGAAATGAGCTAGTTTCATTCTTCGTTTCAATTTGAGTCTGGCTTTTTTGAGCCAGTTCAACCGGAATTCTTTTCTGAATGTGTGAACATTATTTAGCCCCTGGAAAGAGAGATGCTGTCAAGTCTATGAGAAACAAGACTAGGTAACTGAGAGTGAAATAACAGATTCTTTACTAACAATATGAAATACCAAACTAATATTGTAAAGGCCAAGAATTCTTTCTGCTCTTCTCAAGTGGCTGGTCTGAAGATTAACAAAATTTTTCTAAACCTGTACCTACTTGTGAGCCAAATGTAATTAGTACTGCACTAATTTAAAGGTGGGGAAACCGAAACAGTGGTTAAATACTTTACTACCTGTCATGCAGCAAGTTGAGAATACACAAGTATTCCTTGGAAGGTGTCCAGACTGGGAGTATGCAGTTGGTGTTAGCAGGTGTTAAAGCTAATAGCTTGTAATGTGGCGTGGCGATGACTTCAGTCCCAGGAAGGTAGTGTTGCATAAAGGGCGCTGGTGACTGAGTGAAGCTGATGTGATGTGCAGTTGGGCTACCTGGAACTGTGAGCGTGGCTCTGCTGACTGCCTTGTCTTGGGAGAAAGTGGTGATATTTGCTCCATTTAAAAAATAATAATTAAAAAAAATTTAAAAAACCTGCAAAAAAAATCTGGTTCCGTTTACCAGAACAGTAACTTGAACGGAACACTGGTGTAGTTATTGATGGTGAAATCTAATTTAAAAGCAAATATTGCACACCTGTGCTATGTTAAAATAAGGGATGTCATAGCATGGTATTTACTAGTGTGTCAGCTGTTCCTCAGATGTTTAACAGTGCTGCCTCAAACTAAATTACCAAGTTCCTAGATTGCCTGATAGTAGTGTTACATGTATGGGAAAACATCGCATAAGTGCACTGACCCTCTTGATCATTTGCATGGATTTACAAGACTATTTGGTATCCTGTTCATACGGCTTCTCTTTATCTGTGTTTGAATACTTGCTACATGTTTTAATTCCAACCCTAATTTTTTCTAGCTGAAATGATTGACAAATTGACCTTGACACTCAACCGTACTCGTCAAGCCGTCATTACCAAGGAGCTTATCGAGATCATCTCTGGTGCTGCTGCTCTGTGAGTACCTGTACCAACGTGAAAGGTTGTTGCAAAGTCATGTAACACTTGTATGATATGCTTCGGGAAGGTTGAGGTGTGTAGGCCCTGTAACTGAAGGGACTACAGTCCGCGGCATGATCCAGAGTTTTCAGCTTGCACAGTTCTACTAACAAGTGTGAAATTTGGCAGGGTTTTTTTTGCCAGATAGAAGTTAAAAAGCTGGTAAAACAGGTATTTACCCTCAATAGCTATGCTTGCCTGAACAGGCAGTGGTTTTCCTCCTTTTTGGTTTTCAGTACATTTCCCCTCTCTTCCCTTATCCCTGGACTTCAGCTCCTCTGCTCAAACAGCCCAGTAGTGTTGAATAGGGGAGAGCAGTTCAGGTGCCTGCAGTGCTTTTGGGTAACTGCCTGTGGTGATGCTCAGCAGCTGGGAGTTTGGAGGTGGGGTTGGAAGAAGGAGGGAATTGCATCTGGGCAGGAACAACCCCAGGTT